GGTGGGGTAGAAGTAGTCAGCCTGCAGCAGAGAAGCCTGCCCCTGAATCTTCTCAGACACTGAAGATTCAGGCAGGGGAGAATGACAGTCCCACCAGCTGACAAATCCCAGGCCTCAGCAGGTTTCCCAGAGTCCTCAAACAACAGAGCATAAGAGCTCTGTGGGCTGACTCCCACTGTAAGGTAGGAGTGGGGTGAAAGCATATGACCAAGGCACAGGCCTAAATACAAATACCCTCTCTTCTTTTTATGACAGGTTCTCCCTCCTCATCCTAGAGTCTTCTTTCCAACCACAGGATGCTCATGGGCACGTCCACCCACATCCACCCTGCACACCCTGACAAGCATCCTACCTCTGCTGCAGAAGCCTTTCCTAACCTCTGAAGGCTGCATCCTACCTCTGCTGCAGAAGCCTTTCCTAACCTCTGAAGGCTGCATCCTACCTCTGCTGCAGAAGCCTTTCCTAACCTCTGAAGGCTGCATCCTACCTCTGCTGCAGAAGCCTTTCCTAACCTCTGAAGGCTACATATAGGGCCTGGTACACTGGACACTCACTTGGCCTGTGGGGCTCCGGCGGCTTCCTACAACTCCTACCTCACCTTACACTCTGCAGGTCCACTCCCCCCCCCAAACACAAAATTAAATACTCTGGAGAGAGAGGTACAGGGGTTGGGGGTAGCACAATGCTAGAGCACTTGCCTAGAATGCTCCAGGCCCTGAACCATTCAACCTACATCTCACACAGGCTCCCTCCCAGTATTCTTCCACCTAGTGATAGCCTAAGCCTGTTTTACTTTCAGTTTTGAGACAAGCTCTTACTGTCTTACTGAGTTCTGGGGCTGGCCTCGAACTCATTTTGTAGTACAGGCAGACCCTGAAACTGTGATCCACCTGGCTCAGCCCTGAGTAGCTGGGATCACGGGCCAGTTCCATCAAGCCCAGCCTTAGTGAGTGTTTATGCCACGTGGTTAGATAGACAAGCTCTCCACTTCCCACGTAGTCTTGGTAAGACACTGACAATGATGGGCTCTGCCACTCAGTCACAATACAACCTCGTTTTTTTTTTTCAAGTATGGTCTCATGTAGCTCAAACTCACTAATGTATCAACGGATGACCCTAAATTCCTAATCTTCCTCACCCCTCAAGTGCTAGGGTTACAGGCACGTGCCACCAGGCCTGGCTAAACAATACCAGTTTTCAAGGAGTGTTTCCAAAGGCCTGCGTAAGGTTTTCTTTTGACTTTCTAGAGCCTCATGCAGCCAGCCACTGTCAGATTTCCTTTCTTTTCGATCCACTTTACATCAGTCATAAATGTAAACTTTTGAACTTCTCCATCTGAACTGATGTTATGTGACAAATCAACACTAGACCGGATGGGGGTGCTTTGCTGACATGCCTTTGTGTATTTCTTCTTATCAGGTCCAATTTTGTGCTTCTGTTTATATTTGATGGTCATTATGTACTCTGGTTATAAGCGACCTCAAGCCCGTGTGAATCAGCCTGTATGTTTAGAAAACAATGATATTGCACGCATCCAAAAACCCCTCTTACTCATCCTGGAAGATAAACTGTCTTTTCTGTTTTGTTTTATTTATCTCCCAATCCCTTCCTCAAACCAGAATGGAAACTTCACAGGAATGAGTGAAGGGATGAATGTCTATAGAATGAACCTCCAGGAAGCCTAGCAAATTCTAGCCCTATCCACTGTGGCCCTCTGCCCAACAGGAGATGGTCAGGACACAAACACTAGTAAGGGGCCATGTGGATTCAAATCAGTGGTCCATGCATGTCTCCGAAGGGGTATGATTCTGAGCACTGTTACCTGGTTTCTCTCCAGGTCAGTCTCCACCTGGAAATGAGGCTCCATGTGCTCCTGATACAAAGTGTTTCACAGTTACCCATGTAGATACCAAGCCCATGTCAGATCTAATCTGGGCCAGGACAATAACTGTTGTAAAAGAGACCCCACAGACACGCCATGCAGACAAGGTAGGTGGTGGTCACACCAAGTGGGAGCTGCAGGAAAGACATGTCATGCAGGCGGCACTCACGTGAAAAGTTTTATTAAACGGGGAAGGGAGCAGGGGTGGGGAGAGGGAAGAGGTGAGGAGGTGAGCACCTCTGGGAATAGAGGTGGGGGGAGGGGTTTTCTCTTAAAGAGGACTTTACCTAAGATGATGTCAGGGCGCTGGGCTAGCCAGAATGCTAAAAGTAACACCTGTGCCACAGTCCCCATTCCCCCTTCTCGGTAAACTTACTGAAAGACTTCCTGCCCTCACACAACAAATCCAATTTTGATTGAAATTCAAGTAAATGAACAGCCTCAAAGTGAGAGCAAGAGAGTTTTTGTTTGCTTTGGTTCGGTTTTGTTTTTTGTATTACTGAAGTCCATGTGTTTGGTTTTGTTTTTTGTATTACTGAAGTCCATGTGTTTGGTTTTGTTTTCTGTATTACTGAAGTACATGCATTTGGGTGACACGGGCCTAGACTTCTACTGAGCAGCTCAAGGCCTCCAGACTCCGAGTTTACATCTCTATTCACAGCTGTGTGCTGCGTTGCCCAAGCATGCAGTCCTGTCTGCAGAGGCAGCTGCTGCAAAAGCGACATTTTACAAGACACAAACCAAATGGCCTGGGATACATTAACAGAGAGTGGCTTTCTATACTTCCCACTACCAAGAAAAAAATTATGGAAAAGTTTTAAAGATCTTCAGACGCCGTCCTTAGATAATCGGCTGGAGCCCAGGAGAAACCACTAGCTGCGTGGAATTTATTATTACCAAACGTTCATCAAGTCCCTGAACTCCTTATGTGTAGGAAATGTCAACACCACCCACGGAATGTCTTTATTTTGCTTTGTTGCTCTCACAAGTAAAGAATAATGCTCAATTACATATATTCTTTGGGGGGGATGTGAGGGCGTGGAGGCATGAAGAATGAGTCAAGGGCCTCATCACCCTGTAACCCAGACTGACCTCCATCTCCTGGGATCACAGGTATAGCCCCCATGTCCAGCCTAAGTATTTCTGGAGAACAGAGAAGAATGCATGTGTGTTTATACTCAGCTTTTGACCGGAGTCAGAGAAAATATTCCTTAACACAAGTATTAAAACTTTACATGTAACAACTGACTCCAGCTACCTTTTTCTCCCTCTTCATTATATTGCCTTAAGTGCCTACAAACTTAGCTGCCACCGTATGCCTCTTCCGTTCCTGAAATAATACTGTTTTAGGCTGTGGAATTAACAAGAAGCCTCTTAATTTTAACTAGTTAGGAGTCTTAGCAGCATTAAATATATGTGACACTCCTAATTAAACACCTGCAAAACCCATGGCCCTACAGAACCAGAGAGAACAGAAAGGGCCCCTTACAAGGACTGACCACCCATAGAGACAGTAACTGTAAAACACACACACACACACACACACACACACACACACACACACGCACGCACGCACCCACGCACACGCACTACTTTTGCACTGGTATTCTCAAAAAAAAAAATGCCAGCACAGCGTACATGGCAACTTTACCCAACTTTAGGAGTAATCAGCAATACTGAAGCGTTGGAACACCTCTAAGCCTGCTGCTGAGCTGCACAAACGTGTTGATATCGGTCGAGCTAGCTCCCCTTTCTGCAGTATACACAACCATTCTAACTATGGCAGAAGGAAAGGAGACGGTAGGAGGGTTGTTTTTACGGTTAATGATTCAGGCGACTCTTAGAATAACTTCTACTTGAGAAGCTGTAACTACAAGGTCCTATCGAGAGCCCCTCCAGCTGTTGAGAACTAAGTTCTGGAATTTCCCCTCTGCTCGCCCATCCCCGGACCGTCCTTAAATCCAAATATCACCGTTTAATGACCCCCAGAGGAGTGCTTCTGGCCTCCAATGAATTCAGAACTCCATCTAAATCTTCAGTAGGCCTCCTGATAAATGTTTATGGAATTAACGAGAAACCTAGCCTCCGAAAGCCACAGCTGGCTCCCCGGCCCCGCCCCCTAGTCTTCCATTATAAGAGGAAGCTGAAAGACCCTGATATGGGAGTCAAGTAATCCAGAACCCTAGAGACCTGATGCACTTCGGAAGACGCAATGACAGTCGTGAGGTCTAGGCAATGGCTCAAACATGGGGCACCCACTGCCCCGGGAAACGCCAGGCGCTAGCTGGGGTACAAACCGTCCCGCAGAGAGCGGAACCGGATGGTCGGAAACCAAGTCAGATCTGCACGGATCCCAAGGCCCCAACCCTCTTCCACCACCCTCCTTCCTGTTTATGGATCCGCTCCCACAACTCCGACTACCAACGGGAAAGCAGACATGTCCGAAATATGTCAACACATGACACAACTTGAAGAAGCCGGCTGCTCTTTGGCGCGAGTTACAACTTGCCGGGCTCCCACTGGCAAACAGGCTCACTTTAATTACTTTTCATTTACTACGCCACGCTTCCCTTGCAGGGCCCCCGCAAAGGCCCGGGTTAGTGAGAACCGGGGAGCCCCGGTGGAGGGAACCGAAATGTGTGGGCGGAGAGCCAGACACCAGGCTCTGCTCGCACAGGCGCAGAACCAAGGCTGGCACCGCCTCTCCGGCTGCAGCAAGCCACGGTCGCGCGGCGCGGCGGTGGCCGGGGCCACGACACTGCGCGGAGAGGACAGGGCTGGCGGAGGGCCGGCCACCTTTGTCTGGGCTTCCCCACCCACCGGGACGCAGAATGCTTCAATGGAGAGAGGTCCGTGACCTGCTTCATGTTCGGGACTAGCTCGCCGTTGCCTGTTACCTCCCACTTCCCGCGCGCCAGACAACGCTGGTGGGCGCATCCCTGCGCTCCTGCACCATGGTCGCTGGGGTCGACGGGGTCGGACGGGCCACGGTGCCCGCTCCAACCATCGCGCACATTGCAGAACCCGCTCCTGCCGAGCCAACCTAGTAGCACACTCGGGCCCGGCGGGAAGGTGCGACAGTCCCGCACACGCGTGGCCAGCCCCGGCCCTGCCTCACCTGCTTGAACCGTGTCCGAGAGGTCGTGCCCCGGGGCTGCCGTCCGGGGAAACTCCTTCAGCTTCCTTGCGCTCAGGTTCAAGCCCCCAGAATTGGCCGCCTCCTCCAGCGCGCGCTCCAGCCCACGGTTCAAGGGCAGGTTGAAGCCCGCGCCTCCGGTGCTTCCGTGGTGCTGGTGGTGCTGGTGGAGATGCGGGTGCAGGGTGGTTACCGAGAGGGCGGGCGTGAAAGCTTGGGGTTCGCTTCCCGGCGTCGCCATCTTCTCCCGGTCCCCCGCCCCGCTCCTGCGCGGGGGGTCACAGGTTTCCCCGGCTGCCCCGAGTCTCCGTTGTGCTCCCTCGCAAGCCGCGGGACGGCGGGAGGGGCGGCGGGCAGCGCAGACCTAGAGGCAGCCGCTCAGTCTCGAAGGTTTCCAGCCCGGGAAGCCGAGGGCTGCGGCGGCGGTGGCGCGCGCATGTGTCTGTCTGCTCGTGCTCGTGCTCGTGCTCGCGCCCTCGTCCGCGCCCCCGCCCGCCGCTCCTCCTCCGCGGCTTCTCTGCGCTCCTCCCCCGACGCTGGCTAGAACTGGATGCGTTCTGGGTGACTTTCACTCCGGGGGGGCCCCCTCGGGGTTTACATCTGCCGCTCCGGGGGTTTTTGTTTTGTTTCGTTTTGGTTTTGTTTTTGTTTTTTCAAGCCATTTGGGAAAACCGGGGCGAGGCAAGAGATGCAATTTGAAATACAAGGTGACAGAGAGGAGAGTAGTTCTGGCTGATTGACCCAGAGTCCGTCCCCCCCCCCCCCCCCCCCCCGCGCAAAGGGCAGTTTTTTCCTCTGTGCGTTTACCCTCACTGACGCCCCCTGGCATTTAGGTACTTACCACATAAATTCTCTCATTGAAACCAGGAAGCCTGTGAGTGGAAAGATTGCTTCCTTCAATTGGCAAAGGAAGTTAAGAAACTGAGCTGAGATCACCCCTGCAAGAGTGGGAGGGAATTCGAACTCGCAGCCCACAGTCACCAAGTTTTGCACCTTCAATGCAGACCACAGAGGCCAGACTTAAGTGCAAATAGACAAATCTAGAAGGAGGACTTTGAGAAAGGATGATTTTACAATAAAATACATCGTCATATGAAGGAAAACACTAATTGGGCCCTAAATTAGTACCCCAAGAGTTAGAAAGCTAAAGACCTAACACACCAAAAGGCCACATCTTAAACCTAATCCTAGATGCTGTGAGATTTTCAGTGTGCACCTTCTGCTTGTCCATGTAGGACATAGGAACAGACATGTCTGCTTGCAAACAAATGTTCTGCCACAGCAAACAAATGTTTGCTCACCATGGAAAGGCCAGAGGACCTGTGTCACCTAAAGGCCACCCAGCTGAAGAGCTGATAATGCCCCACTCCCTTACCACACCTTGAGAGCCCATTTCCTGGGACTGTCTCTATGGGGTGACTCGGCTTGGGGAAATGAGGCTGGAGCAACATGTGGACGTGATACAACTTCATCATACATATAGCAATGCGACCTGTGATAGTCTAGGCAGCAGTGCGGGGAACTATTGACTTCATGGGCTCCGCACTAAAGTATGACATGATCTATGTCACTTGCATGGACTTCACTAAAGGGCTACCCTTAATTCCTGAGATTCCAGGCTGAGAGTAAATCATACTCATCTTCCGGGAAGAAACAGGCGCCACCTACTGGTGTGTCCCCAACCTCTGGCTCAGGCTCTTCTTCAGTCTCTGGAGGCATCAAGCTTAGTTTTTTCACCCTGTTCTGTGGGCTGTCTCTTCGCTCTGTTGCTTCCTTTGTGGTATAAAAGCATTTTAATTTCATTCAATCTTGCTTATCACTTCTTACACTAATTTCCCATGGGCTTAGGGCTGGTTTCAGAAAATCCTTCCCAAGTCCTCTATCGTGAAGGGTTTTTCCTGTTCTCTTCTGACAGTTTAAGGTTGGTGCATCTGACATTTAGGGCTTTGCTACGTTTTGAATTGATTTGGGGGTAGGGTGAAAGACAGAGATCAAGTTTAATTCTTCCAAATGTAGAATCCAGTTTTCCCAGCACCATGAGCTGGAGACCGTCTTTTCTCCGGTGTGTGCTTTGGGTACTTTAGTGGGATAGCCGCCGCTGCGGCTGCATAGACTCATTTCTGAGTCTTCTGTTCCTTTGATTTACATGTTTTTGTGGGTTTTTTTTCCCCCAGTGGCCCTGTGGTACTTAGAATCATGTACTGTGATTCCTCCAGCATTACCTTTTTATTAAAGACTACTTTGACTACCCAGCATCTCTTGACATTTAAGTTGTTAATGTCTAGAATGTTAAAAGCATGCGGAAAAACGGAAACACCCAAGAAACCAATCCACCCAACAAATGGGCAAACAAAATGACCAGACACTTCTCAAAAGGTGAAGTACAAATTTACTTTCTGTTGCTGTGATAAACACCATGATGACAAGCAAGTTAGGGAGAAAAGATCCCAGCTTACAGCGTACCCATCATGAAGAGAGGTCAGCAGGAACCTGGAGGCAGCCACTGAAGCGGAGGCCATGGAGGAACGCTGCTTACTGGCTGGCTGCTCATGGCTTACTCATCCAAGACCACCTGCCCAGGCACGGCACTGACTGCGGTGGGCTGGGCCCTCCTCCATAAACCGTCAATCAAGAGAATGCCCCCACGGACTTGCCTATGGGCCAATCTGATGGAGGCATTTTCTCCATTGAGGTTCCTTCCTCCCAGATAACCCTAGCTTATGTCAAGTTGACAAATAACCTAACCAGCACACACACACACACACACACATAAAAGGACCCAAAGGGGCTTCGAAATTTCTTAAAATAAATGAAAATTTATTTACATCATTTAAACATGTGCCTACTCTTCCCGCTTTCCCTGGTCCTCAGTATCCTTTGGCCTAAAATCTAGGAGATACTATGTTTTCCCCACAGATTACAGACCCAGTTCAGAACAAGAATTGTGAGAATACACCCACCACACTGAGCATATGTAGCTTCTTTTAAACAAACAAGAAACCCAATCCTTTCCTAAGGGAACCAATGGCAATGAGTCTATGCTTTGCTTTGAATAAATACTCAAGTCCTCCTGACACACTAGCCCAGTCATTGCAGTCTCTTATGTCTTGTGCAGATTTCTAACCTTCAGACTCTGTGAGATTGGTACCAAGTCCTCTCCATTCCGGTGTCTCAGAATCCACAGCGTCCACAGCATCCTGTGTGTAATGACTGCATGCACATAGTAACAGGTTGCTATTTGCTGGTACATCTCTAAAGTTTTAGATGATTTCTCTGCACAAAAAAAGTTTTTCCTTCAAGTTGAAGGGAATACTTGACTCTTGAAACTAATCTTGAATATTTCTAAAAATTGGGAAATGTAACCAGTCCTTCCAGGTGGCAGTCAACTGCTTCCCTGTTTCCTCAAAAGCATAGGCATGTCTCTTTTGTTCAATACCCTGTTTATTTCTTCTGAAAGCAGAGTCCTCTCCTTCCACCCCGTCTTTGCACATATAATAGTCTGTTAGGAGGAGTGGCTGTGTTACTTCATCTGGCCATTGCTGTTTCTTTGCTAAATGGACTCATAACGATGCTGCGGAGCACCTAGAAGATCCTTTGACTGAGTCCATACCCAGGCTCTGGTGTTCCAAGATCTCACCTTTGGTTTCTATGGACTGTCTATAGTAAACAGTGGACTCTCCCTATCTTCAAACTTGGCATCTACCAGTCCTGCATCCTCGTTATTTAACTAAAAACTAAAAAACATTCATAAAAAATTCTATCAAAGATGTGCAGATGTTTTCCTTGTCATCCTTCCTAAGACAATATACTATGGGAACTTCTCATATATTGAATTAGGTATTACAGGGAATCTAGAGAGAATTTAAGGCATGGGGGGGGGCATAAAGGACTTCAGCATCTTCAGGGCTCATTATCCACAGGGAGGTCCTACACCCAATCTTCTTTGGAATCACTATCTTTATAGTAATTGTATACTGAAAAACACCAAGAATTCTCTCTGGGTAGAAACCCAAAGTCACGTCTGGGCTTCATGGTCCCCTCTGCCCAAAGGTGACTGGACAAGAGGAATCCTGACACCAAATCCGGTCATCCATGACCGGCAAGTCCTCCCATCAGTCTCCCGATTGAAAATTCAATGAAAAACACATGGAGACCACAATCAAATAAGAACAGGCATTTGACCCCAAGGTCAACAGAATCTGGCCTTATTTACATTTATTTACCTTGGTGTTCTCTAACCCCTCTGCCTTCATTTCTTCTTTAAAAAAAAAAAAATAGGCAAAATATTCCCTGATGAACACCGCCCTTTTCTGGTCACTCCCATCACATGCTCTCAGTACGAAAGTATTCTCTTTGTAATGTATCTGTAAATATTTGTCAGTAAATATCTGTAAGCCATCAGGGCATGTTGTATTCATTAGCTTTCAAGGGCAGGGATTGGGTCTTTTGTTTTCATCCAGTGCCTGGATGAGTCAATAAATCATGTTGTCTGACTGAGATCTTTTGAGTTTTGCAATGCAGCTAAAGCTATCAACATGGATTTCTCTGAAGATTATAAATGTTACTATCTTGGACATGTTACAGACGTTTTTCTAATGTTCCAGAACACTAGTCTATGAATCAGTTTGTGACAAAATGACCCTAATAAAATGAGAAAAATTAGGACAAGTTTGATGAATTTTTTATATAAAATTAGATGCATTGAATTTGAAGAATTCTATGTAGTCTTGAGACTCTGCCTTTCCTTTTTCCTGACAGAAAAAAATGAAACCGTGGCAATTAGTTATAATATTAATATTCCTTTTTGAAAAAGCAAACCAGAAGTAGACTGCCAAAATGAGCTCACAGTTCTTCTCATGTTACTTTCTTATGCGCTCCAAAAGGCCAAGAACTACCCTTGAAGGTTCTCTCCCTCTGTATCCCCAGCTTACTTTGAAGTCAACTCCTGATCCTCTGTCTTTCCCTCACAAGTGTTGGGTTTATGAGTGTGCACTACCACATCTGCGTTATGAGGTGTCTGAGAGTGAGCACAGGCTCTGTGCTTCCTCAGCAAGCACTCTACCCAGCTAGATCCCAGCTTCTTGGCTTTCCTGAAAGGAAGTTGTTAGTCCTGTGCTCCAGTTGCCTGCCTTGAGGCGTTCTCTCCAGCTTCGCCCACAACAGCAACCTGATGCAATGCCCACATATCCTGCTTTGTTTGGATCTTGGCTGCCACCACCCTTCTGTTTTCTGGGGCTTTCTCATTCTGGAAATTACCTTAAGCCTGAGAAGATGCTGCCTGCCTTACATTTTTAAATCTTTCATGGCTGACTGTTACCCATACTCAACTTCTTTTTCTCTCTCTGCCCCAAATATCACATGGAAACCCTCGGTCCCTTCATAGGCACTTGCTCCTCCTCTGTCTAGCTCTGCTCTGCCCGTATCTCCTTATTCTCTTCCTGACTGAACAAGAGTGCTAGCTTCTAGACCAGAAAGACTTCATCCATGTCCTCTTTTCCAT